TATTTCTTACTGCCCAGGCATGTAGTAGATGCCTAGGAACTTCTAAATCATAGACTTTGAAGGATACTTTGGCCAACTTGTTCAACTTTCTGCTTAAGGAAAAATATCTTTTTAATAATCTAGTAAATTTTTCTTTTTTTTATTTTATATAATTCTTACATCATTTTTCATCTTTGCACATGTATGCATTTTCATTTTGGTTATATTCCCCATACAATTGCACCCCCCCTTATTGTGACTCTAGTTCTTCCAATCTAGTATATTTTTCAGATGTCTCTCATGAAGAGGAGAACACTTCTCTAGGGCAGCTTATTTTACTGCTAAGTGGTTATATTCATTAGATTTTTTTTTTAATATTTTGAGCTGAAATCTACTTCCTGGTGGCTCTAGACCAGTCTAACAGTGCAAGTTTGATGTTCTAGTTTTCCTTTTACATGTTAGCTCTTCAAATTATCAGAGTTGTAATGAATCCCTTTAGTTTTTTGATCCCGTTTATGTATTAAACATTAGAAATATCTATTGTGTGGTAGATGTGAAGTAGAACTTATTACTGTCACTTACTAATTTTTCACCTTTTCCTCATTGGATATATATCTCAGATGACTCAGGAAGGTTATTATTCTCTTCCTATATAAACACTAGTTCATGTCTCCCTTAAAATGCGATGCCTGAAGTGGATCAGTGCTCTTCATCTGTGGCCTGATCAGCATATAACCCATTAAAACTTATCATTTAATGCAAATCAAAACCACAGTGAGAAATCACCTCACACCCTTACAATGATTCCTATCAAAAGACAAGAAATAACAAGTCCTGGTGAGGATGTAGAGAAAAGGGAATACCTGTGCACTATTGGTAGAATATAAATTGCTGCAATCACTATGAAAAACATGGAGATGTGTCAAATAGTTAAAAATAGGATGACCATGTAATCAACAATTGTGTTTCTGTGTGTTTATCTGATGAAAATGAAAATGCTAATTTGAAAATATTTATCTGCACCCCGATGTTCATTTCAGCATTATGGGGGTAGTTGGCTGGGTGAAATGGGTGAAAGTGGTTAAAAGGTACAAAATTTCTAGTTATAAAATAAATCAGCCCTGCAGAAGAGCTAAAAAGAAACTACTTTGAAGAGGAAATGCAAATGGCCAACAGGAATATGAAAAAATGTTCAACATCACTTGTAATCAGGGAAATGCAAATCAAAATTACCATGAGATACCATCTTACACCAGTGAGAATGGCACATATTAAAAAAACTAGCAACAACAAATGTTGGCGAGGTTGTGGAGAAAAAGGAACTCTCCTGCACTGTTGGTGGGAGTGCAAACTGGTCCAACCACTATGGAGAGCTGTGTGGAGATTTCTGGACCTACTAAACATAGAGCTTCCATATGATCCAGCAATTCCACTCCTAGGTATTTACCCAAAGGACACAGAAACATCAATTCCAAAGAATACCTGCACCCCTATGTTTATAGCAGCACTTTTTACAATAGCTAAGCTTTGGAAACAACCCAAATGCCCAAAAATAGATGACTGGATCAAGAAGCTGTGGTACATATACACCATGGAATATTACTCAGCATTCAAAAAAGATAAACACATGCAATTTGCAGCAACATGGATGGCGCTGGAAGGGATCATGCTCAGCGAAATAAGCCAGAAAGAAAAAGAAAAATACCGGATGGTCTCACTCATAGCAGGAATCTAGAAAACTTAAATAAGGGACCAGGAAAATGAATAACTATAAGAAAGTGAAAATCAAAATCAACAAAAAACTATGAACCAGAGACACTTTTTGGGGAGTGGGGGGCGGGAGGGGAGGGATTGGGGTCAAAGTGGGGGGGGTTGCAATTGTATGGGGAATATACAAATAAAATTTATTATTTAAAAAAAAATAAAAAAATAAAAATAAATCAGCCCTGGAAATGTAACGTTCAACATGATGCCTAGAGTTAATAATACTGGATAGTACATTTAAAAGTTGCCAAGAGAGTAGCTCTTCAAAGTTCTTATCATAAAATATTTTATAACTATATGTAATGATGGGTGTTAAACTTGTGATGATATTTTGCAAGATACACAAATATAGAATCATTGCCTAGTATACCTGAAAGGAATACAATATCTTAATAAAAAAACCTATTGTTTTACATGTTCATGATAACTTATTTCTATCAATGTTGTCATAATCTTCATTGAATTTTAAAAAAATAATATTGATCAACAGAAACTTTTCTCATATTTCTTTCTATTATGCTGGATTTGTGCAATTGAATCTTTTTGCACAAGCTAAGTGAAGTGCTCTATGTTTGATTTTATTTATTTTGGTCAAATAATTTTGCTTAAAAATAATTGAATTTTAAGTCTGCTATGCTCATGGCTAGCCCTTCTGTTTTTGAAATATATAAAAAAATTATAATCACTAATTTTCTCTAAGTCTTACATAAAATCTTTTATACCTTTGAGAATTCAGTTATTCCTGGGAAATGTGAGAATTTAATATTGCCATCTTTGAACATTGCTGTATCTTGGTTTTCATTTTTTCTCTTATATTTACTTAATATCATTGATCCATTTATTTACAGGAGAAATGTACTCCCAAGAATGGGATATAAGAATTAGGGGAATAATAAGACATCAGTATAAAAAAATAATAACAGTACAAAACATAGCAAAGCAAAAGCAGACAATTATAAATCTGAGACATCCTGCAGGGGAAGAGGAGGGAGAGGGATCAGAGGGAGGGAGGGAGGAGCACAGGGGACTGAGGTGATGGTGCACGGGTGCATTGGTGAAGGAAATTATGTGGGGACTACACCTGAGGGGGTGGGAGGAAGCATATATTACTTAAAAAATGAACCATGATGTAAAAAATAAAATTATCATAAAATTAAATGAAATTAAAATGCCTGAGAGGGGGAAATAATTAGGGGACTAACAACATCTAATTATTTAGTATATCTTATGGATGGCTTTCACTTTTCTTCTCTCCACTGCTTTTACCTAGTTCAGACTCTTATCATACCTCATCTAAACTTTGTTTCAGCCTCCTTAACTGCACTTTCTATACTGTATTTATTATCCATTCTACTGCCAGAAGGATCTTTCTGTTGTACAAAACACATTATATATTTTTTCTGCGTCAGCTCCATGAAGAATTTCAATTGTTTATGGGATAAGTATACATACACATTTCTTAGTAAACATGTAGACTTTCCCATAGTCTGACTTCTGTCTAACTCTCTAGGATGGTCTCTTTAATCTCTGGGTCTTTTTTTTCCCCAGAGCAACCTATTTTTCCAGAATTGGGGTTTTATATCTGGGCTGCCTGGTAGATACCTACTCAACATTCGGTTTAAGTATCACTTGATACCTTTTCTGTAGGAAAATGTTCTAGATCCTTCCCCCACCCTTTTCTAACACAAAGGATTTATTTCTTTTAGTCTCCAGCTAACAATGTGCATACTTGTATCTGAGAATGTAAAATACTTTATTGGACTTGTTTACTTGTCTACCTCATTTGCCTATACTCCTTGAAGTATATTTTAAGTCTTATTCATCTCTGTAGCTCCAGCACCTAACATGGTGCCTGGCACAGAGTATATACCCAGTGAATCCTGAGGCAAGATTAATGAGAATCACCAGAAACCTTTCATAGGTCACGGTTTGGAGAACACTCTGCTGGAACTCAATGAATATTGAATCTGGCAGAAATAGATTAGGAAAGCCAGCCAGATGTTGTTTTTAAGAGTTCTGTTTTTAGCATGTAAATTAAAATTTCATTTAGAAGTACAAGTCTAATTTGGGAACCAGAATGCAGTTGTAGAGTTTGACAAGATTACATATGTAAATTCTCCAAAGGCTGATCTATCATCATGCTTTCCTGAAACAGTGCAGTCTGTGTGGAAAGAGAATGGTTCTGAGTCTGCATCCCAGACCCTTGCTCTTCTAGCTCTCCTGCCCGCATCATTCAGTTACCACATTTGAACATTTGACCTAGGAGTCAATGACCACATTACCAAGGAGGCAGTTTTTCCTTTTTCTTTCTGTGAAAATGCTCTGGGCCCTGACTGAGCCCCAAGGCTATAGATTGTACCCAGCCCAGCTTCAGCTCCTTCAAGAACAGGTTTTTACTCCTTCAGGATAAATTCCGACCTTCTTTGCATGACAACAAAGTCTTTCATGGTCTATTTGATGTCTTTTGCTCTATAGTCCCACCTAGTTCCTCCATACACGAATTTCTCTTTGCACTTGTCTATTTGGTTAATTTTTGCACATTTTAAAGGTGGTTCAGGTTATTTTTGAGATTTTTTTTTTGGAGGGGGAGTGCCCTATTTTTCTTAATACTGTGTATTGGTTGCTTTACAATTTTCAGTTCCCTGATAGATTTTTAAACGTTATGATTTTGTTCTTTATTGAAATATTTCTTGTTGGTAAAAGTGTTGATCTTTCCAGGTCTCTACATCTATGCTAATGCATTGGTTCTCACATTATTTCTGATGGTAGAACATTAAGTAGTTATAATGGTGATAATAGAACTATGGCTTTATTCAAATTAGTATAATTAACTATATTTGCAACAAATCATTAGCATTTATTAAATAATTGATGTAATTTAATGAACTTTTTAAATTTCATCAGTCATACTAGATATTATACCTAATTCCCATAACACCATTTTGAAAGATGTGTTTTACTGTAATCTTTTTTATGGATAGGAGACACTGAGGTTTAAAGAGATAAAGTTGATTGCATTGCATCATAGAGGTAGAATATGAGATTTGAACCCGTATCTTTTTGATTTCAAAATGTATCCTCTACCATCATATGTGCTTAATTTCTTATTCCCCGGATAAGCACTTAATGACTCTGTGTGTGTGTGTGTGTGTGTGTGTGGTATGATATGTGTGTTTAATTATAATAACCTTATTGGACTTCTGTTACTATATACATTTTGATTTATTTGACATGAGTCTATTTTTTTTTTTTTTTAGGCAATGATCTGGGGAGCGATGATGCCATTGGAGGGAATGTGAGCAAATACATGGTGCTTCCATCTGGATATTGTGGACAGCCCAGGAAAGGACATCTTATCTTTGATGCTTGCTTTGAAAGTGGTGAGTTTTTAAGAGAACTTTGCTTTTGAGCTTGCCTGGTGAGGTTTTTTTTTTTTTTTTTTTCTTCAAAATCCAATTCTATTTGACAACTCAGTATTATTCCACCCATATACTATTTCATGATAATTGAACAACTTGTTCAAAAACATCAATTTTGAAGTAATTAACTGAAAAATACTTAAAAAATTAAATGCTATGTTTTGTTGCTAATAATAATTAGAATTGTAGTGGTTATACTAATATTTATATAGTACCTTATATGTTATATCCTATTTTCCCAGATATTATTTCTTTTGGATTAAAAGGGACACACTTTGATTATATGCTAAGTCATTAAATATTGAATGTTTACTCTTTACTTGGTTCTGTATAAAGTGCTTGCTAACTTTGTGAGAAAGAAGGCTTCCCTATAAATAACTGGTTAAAGGAAGGATTCAGTTGAACTTAATTGCATTGCCATCAACAAATGCTGTGGGTATACTGAAAGGAGACATCAGGGCTTGATTATGAATTTCCATTTGGTAAGTGTTGGGCTTTGTAGATTTTTTATGACCTGAGCATACTCTGAATGGCACATAGTAGTTACTCAGAATTTTGGTCCAACCACCATGGAGAGCTGTGTGGAGATTTCTGGACCTACTAAACATAGAGCTTCCATATGATCCAGCAATTCCACTCCTAGGTATTTACCCAAAGGACACAGAAACATCCATTCCAAAGAACACCTGCACCCCTATGTTTATAGCAGCACTATTTACAATAGCTAAGCTTTGGAAACAGCCCAAATGCCCAAAAATAGATGACTGGATCAAGAAGATGTGGTACATATATACCATGGAATATTACTCAGCATTCAAAAAAGATAAACACATGCAATTTGCAGCAACATGGATGGCGCTGGAAGGGATCATGCTCAGCGAAATAAGCCAAAAAGAAAAAGAAAAATACCGGATGGTCTCACTCATAGCAGGAATCTAGAAAACTTAAATAAGGGACCAAGAAAATGAATAACTGTAAGAAAGTGAAAATCAAAATCAACAAAAAACTATGAACCAGAGACACTTTTTTGGGGGGTGGGGGCTGGGAGGGGAGGGATTGGGGTCAGAATGGGGCATGTGCAGTTGTATGGGGGAATATAAAAATAAAATTTATTATTTAATAAAAAAAATAAATAAATAAAATAAAAAAAACAAACAAACAGAAAATATTAATGAGACAGGTAAACATAATTTTATTTTACAAATAATAGTTAAATTTTTTTGTCTTGAATAATGTGCATGTGTGCCTTTGTGTGTGTGTGAAAGGGACATGCTAGTGTCAGTTATATGACAGTTCTCTCAAACTGTCAAAGAACTTAGATTGCTTATACCAACAATTGAAAACTTGTTTATGTAGGGTTTCACTCTGTTTAACTCATGTTGTTTTGCTTGGGCTGCCATAACAAATAACCATAAACCGAGTGGCTTAAACAGCAGGAATTTATTGTCTCTCAGTTCTGGTGGATGGAAATCTGAGATCAAGGTGTCAGCAGGTGGTTCCTGCTAAGTATTTTGAGGAGGAATCTGTTTCATGTCTCTCGTCTAGCTTCTGATTGTTTACCAACATCACTCTTATTTCTGTCCTCATTTTCACGTGGTGTTCTCCCTGTGTGCATGTCTGTCTCTGTTCCTTTTTATAAGGACATCAGTCATATTGAATTCAAGGCCCATTCTAATGACCTCCTTATAACTTGATTATCTCTATAGTGGCTTTTTCTCCTAGTAAGGTAAATTTCTGAGATGTTGGGGTTAGGACTCAATGTATGGTTTTTTGGGGAGACATATTTCAACCCATAACACTACTATTATAATACTATTATTATTATTTGCAGTGTTGTCCTTCCAGTCAGAGCTGATCACTCCACATGCAGGAACAATGTTTCCACTTTCTTTCAATCTCGTATTATTGCCTTATACAGCCTGTACTTGGTACCTATCTTTTGGGTTCTTTTTACCTCATTTAAAGACATGAAGTCTCTTTGCAACAATAGCTCTGTGAAGATAGGAGTTACCCTCATTTTAAAAATGATGTGTTTTGGTTTATTGGCAGTCTGAATTAATCAAGATTCCCTTCCTAGAATATCTACCTTAATCATACTTGTTTTTTTTTTCCATCCCTTATTGGAAAGATCACATCTAATCATGTAGTACCTAAATGAATAATGCGTATTTTTCCAAAATTGTGTGAACAACTGGTTATATCATTTGGATGTATGCTAGTAATAAATAAGCCTTGTAGTATAGTAGGATGGTTAAATGGAGTCAGGCTACAGTTTAAATCCTGGCTTGGAAACTAAGCCACAATTTCTTCAACTTTTAATAGGTCTATCTTATTATTAAAGAAATAGATATATTAAAATATAGTTAATATAACATGTTAATATATAGTAAGGTTAATCTTACTGAATTATGTACAAAATAGTAATAATATTTTAAAAATTGATAAGTGAGGATATCTCAGAAAGAGGAAGTAGCAAAAGAAAATTCTGCTGGATGAGTACATGAAATGCATGATATGAGGTCCCATAATTTGCTATATGTAGGAAACAAATTTAACTGGAGTGTTTTGGCAGCAAGTGCCAAGAGAAACAACATCCCTAAGATAAAAATAAACAAAGTTCTGAAATCTGATAGGAATTCTTCCTATTGGGCTTTCTAAAAAGATACTGAAACGTGATGAAAATTGTCCTCAATAAGATTGCTCTTCTACTTACAATATATTTCATAGGCGTGTATTTTGTAACATCCTTCAATGTAGGCTAAGGGTGTAATGCTAAAAGGCATTTTAGTGAAAACAATTCAGTTGTTTCTTGAAACAATTTGCTTGACAGATGCACTTTTTATTAGATGTAGTTTAATTCAAGGATTTATTTCAGATTATTTAAAACAGGAAAGTCAGAGGGAGTTTTCTCTTATGTGCTAACTCTGGCTACCTGGTGTGCTGTACTGAAAAGATTTCTGTAGGTATGTCCAGGCTTACTGAGAAAGAGTAAGGTGATTAATAGATCCAATGAATCGAGAGTATTGGTTTATGTGGATAACATATACTGCCTTCGGTTAAGCCTCCATAATTTTTTTTCCTTTCAGAGTTATGGAATATATTAAGTGTCTAGCACATAGCCTGGTCTCGAATTGGTGGATAATTAATGTTTTTCTTATGATAAATGAAGTCTGTATATCAAATATGAACCCTTCTATGAATTCTTCATCTGTTTTTTCCATATAGTTCTCTCTATAACTCTTATTTCCCTTAGGAAAATAGATAACATCACTATAATTTTATCTCTCTAGAGATTCCTGACATTTTTCATGATTATTTTAAACTTTATTCTTTTCTACCAAACTGTAACCTGCTTCAGGAAAGAATCTGAATCTGATTAATCCCAGTTCTCTCACAGAACCAAGCAGAGGGCTTGCACACTAAATTAATCCTGTATTTGTTAAATGAAATATTTTGAGCAACAGATACATTAACTTTCTGAATGCTTTGATGAAAAAGTCATATTTACTTGCTTGCTATTCTGCAGTTTGCCAATTTGTCTAAGCCTTCATACCTTTGCAGATGCTGTTTTCTTTGTGACCCAGATCCCTTTCTCTACCTGGTAAAATGTTAATTCAAACTCAGTCCAGCATTTCTTTCTTCGAGAAACACTAAGTCTCAGGTACCTCTTTAAGTCACTGAGTCTCTACCTTTACAGGCACCTGAAGCTATTCTGTGTTATCCCTTATTCTACTACAGACATTTAATTATCTCCTAATTTACTTTGTCACTGAAATTTACTTGAAGTCATGGATAATTTTTATTAATTTTTGTTCTGCATCATTTGATGCATAATCAGTCATATAATGAGTTCAATAAATATATGAATAAATGATGGGCAGATAGTGAACTAATGATTTTATGTAGTGAGATTTGGGATTATTTTACATTTTAATAAAAATTTAATAACAGCAAGAACATTAGAAAAAAACAATAAAAACAATCATTATTTGTTGCTTGCCATACTCTTTGATAAGTGGTATATCTAGTTTATATCACCAAATATTCACAAAACCCTTCTGAGGTATTATATCTCTTTTTGTAGGTGAGAAGACTAAAGCTCAGAGATGTAAAGATTTTACCCTAAATTATATGACTGGGGTAGCTAAATTTGAAATTGAGAATTTTCTGCCACCACAGGCACTTTTTTCTTATGTTATTGGTCTAATTTCATTTCATTGCTTTCAGGAAACATACTCTGTATGATTTTAGCCTTCTTAAATTTGTTAAAACTTCTCTTGTGACCTAACTAGTGATATACCCTCGAGAAAATTCCTTGTGCACTTAAGAAGAATGTGTATTCTGTTGGTAGGGGTATGAATGTTCTGTATATGTATACGAGGCCCATTGTGTTGTTCAAGATGTCTGTTTCTTCAGTGACATTCTGTATGAAATTCTACCCATTATTCAAAATGGGCTATTGAGTCTCCTGATGTTTATTATATTGTTGTATTTTTAAATTATCTTACTTTTTATACCAATGCCACATTTAAGTGGACAGAACTAATCCAGGAGAGAGACTTGTCATGCAAAGAAAAATGAGTGAAGATTTTCATAAAACCTGAGGGAAGAAGTGCCCGTAACACATAGATGGTTATAGCAGTCTACGCCAACTGCTTTAAGTTCTGTGAGTAGGTAGGACAAAAGTGCTCCAGCTGTAGTTGGCCTACCTCTGCTAGCCTGAGACCACTGCTGTTTCCTAAAGAATATTTCCTAATATAATTGGTAAGCAGATCACTTGTAACACAGATGTAAATGGAGCAGGGCAATACTTCTGCAGAGTAAGTGCAGACATTTCTATAAGTTCCTGGGCTGTAATAAGTGGCTACTGAATTATGATTCTGAAAGGTAATTCCAGAAATGGATATCAAGGGAAATTTTGCAACTAGTGAAATTTCTAGGCCAAAAAATAAATAGCTCTA